AAAAAAAAAAACTTTTAGTGTAAATTTATAGTTGGTTAATACTATTAGTAATTATTATATAATTATGGGCAAGCTTCATTTAATTTTATTTTATTTTTTTTTTTCCGAAACGATAGAAATATTATAATCAAAAGGTACAAATGTGCAACTACAAACTGGGAGGACAGGTCAGAAGACCGCCTAGAACCTCAGCTAGCCAAGCTAGAAAAGAAAAGACACAGCACAAAAACAGACTCAACACAAAACTAACAACTAGAATCGCTCCCCACAGGAGAATAGGATCGGCCCCCACGGGGTAATCAACACAGGGACCAACGGCCCAAACCAAAAAAACAATACATAAAACACTCAGGCAAGAGCCCAGACCAAAAACACTAAGCTAGAACAGACTCAAACAACAAACAACAACTAAAACAAAAAAACTAACAGCCCTTCCCCGACTACGAGCTAGACCGAACCAGCAGTGAACGATCGACACAAGACAAATGCGGGTCAAGAGTCTGCTACCGAAACTGCAATCAAGCCTATACAGTAGAAGAACCCTATCCCCGAACCAGTCCCCGAATCGACCCATCAATAACCGAGAAAGCCGAGACCAATACACACCACTCCCCCCGCCGCCTAACACCACTAGGCAAAGCAGGGGATAGTGCGACAGAATCAACTCTCACCCCAGCCACCGCAACCAAGCCGCAGCCACCGGAGTCCAACCACCATAAGACCTACGCACCACCCATCCTCTCCACAGCCACCTCGACCAGAGCCTCCAACTCGCTTGAAAGGGCGGAACACCGCCGGAAATACAAACCAGCAGCCGCAGATCAGAGCTTCGCCGGCAACGGAGGAACTCCACCACCGAACGCCGACCAGGGAAGGCGCCTTCGCGATTAACCCATGACCGCAGACCGCAACCACGAGCTTGAGTCCAATCGCAGTCCATCCGCCGAGAGTCAAGAGTGCGCAACGTCAACGAAGGTTGGAACGGTCATCGACGACCCCTGGCCGAGACTAGCCGACGCCGAAGAAGGCTAATTCACCGGAGGAGAGGATATCGCCGCTAGGGTTTCGCCTGGAACAGGGAATTGGGTTTCTTTTTTTTCCGTAGTTAATCTTTGTACTTCATTTAATTTTATTCAGTCTTCAATTAATATTAATATGAGTTCATTTAATAAAAATAGGTTGCATTTAATATAAAATTTTATGACATTCATCCAAAAACTGTTACAATATTTTTTTCCTTTTAATTTATTATGTACAATCATCCATCTATTTTTTATTATTTTTGGATTTGTAACGGTTGAATGCGATTACCATTTTTTATTTCTCAATATTTGGAGAATATGGGTACAAGATAATGTTTAAATCCTTAAATTCGAATGGTTAAAAATATTTTTTTAAATTGTATGTTGACTATTCACATGCAAAATAAGTATTTAGTATTAATATGCTAGAGATACAACGCAAAATACAGATAAGAAAATTAAACATTTGTAATAAAAACTTTACACCAGCTCATTCAAATTCAAATTTTTCATCCAAGATTGTACACTATATTAGTTTAATTTTAAGAAAAATAATTATCTATTTTATTTTATATAATAAATATAGTGATGAATTTGGATACTCTTATGATGTTCATCTTCACTATCGACAAAATTTTTAAAATGTGATACTATTATTTAACTTATAATTTTACAATTATATACATATGCGTAACTTATACGTTATGATAATTTAAATTTCTGTGCATGTGAACAGGATCAAATACTAGTATGATAGAAAGTTAACAAGTAATATTGCACTCAATTAATACAAAATGTAACAGTTATTTTTTTACAATTAAATAAAAAATAAAGCAAAAAACTTTGGGTATAGGATTAATTGAAATCTATATATATATATAAAGAATTACCATTTACTAAAAATAGTAGCAAAAATTTAGAAAACATTTAATGCATACTATTGTTGGAAAATTTTTAAATATATGCATTAATTGCTTCTATTTACACGTTTTCAAACAAGATCAAATAATTACTTAAATAAATTTATTAATATTTTAGTATTTTCATTGATATTTATTATAATTAATTGCAAAATTGATTTTCGTGATTCATATTGATAATATTTTGGTCAAGATAAATATTATTTTATTAATATTTATAATACTTTCATTGATATTCATTATAATAAATTATAAGATTGATTTCTGCGATCCATGTTGATAATATTTTGGTCAAGATAATATTACACTATATTTTAAGTTCTAACCATAATATAAGTTTGTTTTTTCCACCAATATTCACTT